CGACGGCGGGCGCTTCGAGATATTCCCTCGCATCGACGCCCGTCGCCACTCTGCCCCTTGGGCGTGCTCTCTCGTTTCCTGGCGCGCTGTTAACAACCTCCCCCCGCGGCCAATGTTGCTTAAGTGTTAGGATTATTATTATTATTATTATTATTATTATTATTATTATTATTATTATTATTGTTATTATTATTGTTATTAAGAACACGGTAGTTCTTGGGTACGTGTGGCACCTGTGTATTGGGAACGAGGTTGTGAGTGGTGCGAGAAACATACCTGGTATTGGAAGCGCGAGGCATTGGCCACTGTCTGCTCGGACCTTGGGAGGGCTGTTGTCCTCGTCTTCTGTAGAGTAGTAGTAGGATAGATAGGATCCGCCATCTGTAGTCCGAGCACCAAGCCAGGTAGGATGTCGACATTGGTTCTGTGTTGATGATGAATGAGACTACGCCAACATTGACACTTATGAGCTTGTGCTGCATTCTTACCTGATAAAACTTGTGATGTTATTATGCTGCTGGTTCGAGGTCAAGACTATCCGAGTCTGGTCACAGGTGTATAATGCCGTGGATTTCCGAAGTTTGCTATCTGGTCGTACTTCGGGAGAGTTGTTCTCGTCATCGTCGACATTGTAGTATAGGCTAGATAGGATCTGCCACCTGTAGCCTGGGCGACGAGCGGCAGATAGGATAGAGATATTGGTTCGGTGGATGACGATGAGACTATGTCAGCATGGTCAATTATGAGTTTTCACTGTGCTTTTAATTGGCGAAACTCGTGGGGCAATGCTGCTTTTTGATTCGAGGTCACGACTATCTGATCACCTGCGTATGATGCTGTGGATTTTGAAGTTCGTTATCGCTCATCTACCCTGCATTACTATTATTGTTATTATTATTGTTATTATTATTACTATTATTTCTATTATTATTGTTTACTATTTGCAGATAAACGTGTCATGTTCTCACTTCGTGTACATGCGAAACAGGCGGCATTGTAGCAGTAGGCTAGATAGGATCTGCCATCTGAAGCTTGGACGCCGAGCGCCAGATGGGACGTCGACACCGGTTCTGTGTTGCTAATGATGAAGTTATTCCAGCATTGTCAGTTATGAACTTTTGTTGTTCGGTGGGACTCACAAGGCAGTTATGCGTTTGGTTCGAGGTCACGACAATCTAGTCACCTGTGTATAATGCTATTGATGTCTAAAGTTCGGTACTGTCCACCCTCTGTGTGCTGCTGTCATCGCCTTCAGTATCATAGTATAGGCTAGATAGGATATGCCATATGAAGTCAGGGCATCAAGCGCCAAATAGGATATCGACATTGATTTTGTGTTGATGGTTGATGATCAGACTGTGCCAGCACTGTCAATTATGAGCTTTGTTTAGTCTTTATTTGGAGCGACTCGTGTTGTCACAACGATCCGGTCACATGTGCATGATGCTGTGCGATTTC